AGAAAGGACAAATTCAGTGCGGGTAGAACTCTTATTTGAACGAAGTGAAAAAAAAATGCAATCTTGTTGTCTAATAGAACAAACACTAATGACTACTTCTATCGATGAGGAGCCAATCTCTAGAACCAATTTAACTAAAAAGCCTTATGTTTCCTAATGTAATTAGAATGTACGGTGGAGATTATTAGAAAGTATGTTTATTATGTTTCTTAGAATGGTTGTTTTATTGGCACCCCCTTTAAATTCCAATTTTAACCTCAAATACTATTTTCACCTAACTGACATCTCGCTCACCCTCTGCCTCTTCGCTACCACCCCCCCCCCCCCAAAAAAACATCCACACCACCCACCTCTTCCCCCAAAAGACCTTTATTGTTATAAATAGGCAAAAGTTAGAGAGATAACCTTTACTAGGGACATGTGCGAGGTTGTTGCAATATATTACACTAACACAAAGTGATTGAAGATAAGAGAGAAATAGGAGTATACTGAAAATACTCTAACTTTTCTTTCTTTCTCACTCTATCTCTTTGAACACTCGTAATGCTCTATTTATAGAGCAAATACTTTGAAAGCAAACAAATTATACTAATAAGCTTGTGAAAAGTTTACTGTATGCATGTGGGCATACATACCCACTATTTACAAAACTCCCCCTTGAATGCCCACATATCAACATCAGTTGCCTCGTTAAAACCTTGCTTGGAAAAACCCAGTAGGAAAAAACCATAGCGAAGGAAAAAGAGTACAACTTTACCCGGATTGTTGATATGGTGTTAAGCATGCTTATGCTACCTTGTTAAAACCTTGATAGGAAAAACCCAGTGGGAAAAATCCTAATCGAATGAAAAAGAGTACAACATGCATGTATCATGGATGCTCCCCTTGAATTGTATCCCCCCTGATTTCGCATTCTTCAAACTTGTAAGTCGACGTAATCCGATTCCCTGCACTAACTTTTGAAATGTGCACTTTGGTAGAGATTTGGTGAACAAGTCTGCTAAATTTTCATTGAAACGGATTTGTCTTACTTCAATAACTTTAGTCTTCTGAAGCTCATGTGCATTGAAAAATATTGGAGATATGTGTTTAGTCTTATCACCCTTGATGAATCCTTCATTCATCTGGGCGATACAAGCTGCATTATCTTCATAGATGACAGTTGGAGTGTCTGTCTTTGAAGGTAGACCACATGAATTCCAGATGTGATGGATCATTGATCTTAACCAAGAACATTCACGACTTGCTTCATGTAAAACAATTATTTCCGAGTGATTGGAAGATGTAGCAACTAACGTTTGCTTCGTTGATTGCCATGAAATTGCAGTATCGCCATTAGTGAACACATATCCATTTTGTGAGCAGGCTTTATTTGGATCGGAGAGAAACCAACATCTGCGTATCCAACAAGGATCTGGTCATTTGTGGGCTTGTCTGAGTAGAAGAGACCTATATCTGTTGTCCCACGAAGGTATCGTAGAACATCTTTGACTCCCTTTCAATGACGAATTGTTGGAGCAGAGCTATAACTGGCTAACAAGTTAACTGAAAAAGCTATATATGGTCTAGTACATTGTGCTAAATACAATAAAGCACCTATCCTATTGCGCTCAAATATGGTACTTCTGGACCAAGGACCAGTTCATCATCTTCTTTTGAATGAAATGGATCTTTCTTAATATCCAAAGAACGAACGACCATTGGGGTGATAACTGGATAAGCCTTGTCCATGCCAAATCGCTTCAGTATTTTTTCAATGTAAGCTGATTGATGAACCAAAATTTCATTAGCACAATGCTCGATCTGCAGGCCGAGACAATATTTTTTTTTCCTAAAGTCTTTCATTTCAAATTCGCTTTTCAGATATTCAGCAGTTTTATTGAGCTCTTCAGGGGTTCCAACTAGGTTCATATCATCGACATATACTGCCACTATAGCAAATCCAATATTTGATTTCTTAATGAACACACAAGGGTAGATGACATTGTTGATATATCATTCTTTGATCAAATACTCATTAAGACGATTATACCATATTCGTCCAGATTGTTTTAGCCCATATAGTGGTCACCTTAATTTGATTGAGAACATACCTCGTGGTTTGTTAATTGCTTCAGGCAACTTAAGTCCTTCTGGGACTTTCATATATATATCAGTATCTAATTCTCCATATAGATACGTGATGATGACATCCATAAGTCGCATGTCAAGTTTTTCTGAAATCACCAAACTTATTAAGTAACGGAATGTAATTGCGTCCATTACAGGAGAGTAAGTCTCTTCATAATCAATTTCAGGTCTTTGTGAAAAACCTTGTGCAACGAGTCATGCTTTATATCTTGCAATCCCGTTTTTCTCGTTGCGTTTCCTTGTGAATACCCATTTGTAACCTACGGGGTTCACACCAGGTGGGGTTTGGACTACTGGTTCAAAAACACTTCGTCTTTCCAAGGAATTTAATTCTGCCTGTATTGCATCTTTCCACTTAGGCCAATCATGTCTCTGCTTGCATTCATCAACAGAGCGGGGCTCAATGTCATCGCTTAATATAATTTCAGTGGCTATTGCAAATGCAAACATGTCACCGATGATTATTTCATTTCGATTCGACAATTCATTAGCACATGCATAATTTATGGATATTTCTTTGCTTTCATGTACTTCTGTCTCTTCAAGGACATGTGTCTCATCAAGGACATTTTCTTTTTCTGGAAGTACAGAATCATAAATTGTGGATTTATTATTCATTTTCTTTTCCTGAATGATTTCATTTGGGTTCAACTGTGCCCTCATCTTTTTCTTTCGAGGGGCTGAATCTTTTGAACCTGGGGGTCTACCACGCTTCAGGCATGCACTGGATGAATCATTCATGGCCACTTTATTTTGTCCAACAAGGACATCAATTCTTGCAGGTGCATTTGCAGCTGGTATATGTGATTTTGCCACTTTCGAAACATCATTAAATGCATCTGGCATTTGATTAACAATACATTGAAGATGAATGATCATTTTCACTTCATTTTCACATTGAGTGCTTCGTGGATCAAAATGAGATAAGGTGGGAACAACCTGTGTCAGCTCTTGTCGTTCTTCTGGAACGGTCTTTTCTCCCCCTAACGACGGGAAGATTGTCTCATCAAAATGACAATCAACAAAACGAGCTGTAAACATATCACCAGTCAAAGGTTCCAAATATCTAATGATAGATGGTGAATCAAAACCCACATAAATTCCCAGTCTGCGCTGAGGTCCCATTTTAGTTTGTTGTGGCAGTGGAATAGGCACATAAACAGCATAACCAAAAACTTATAAATGTGAAATGTTTGGTTGATGTCTAAACACGAGTTGTATTGATGAGTATTGGTGGTTGGCTATGGGTCTCAGTCGAACCAATGATGCTGCATGTAAGATAACATGTCCCTATGCATAGACTAGCAATTTCGTTTTCATGAGTAGAGTGCGGGCTATTAATTGAAGCCGCTTGATAAATGCCTTTGCTAAACCATTTTGAGTAAAGACATAAGGAACAGGATGTTCAACATCAATGTCCAGTGCCATGTAGTAATCATCAAAGGTTTGAGACGTAAATTCACCAACATTATCAAGTCGAATTGACTTAATGGGATGATCTGGGAACTGTGCTCGCAACTTAATTATCTGAACAAGAAATCTAGCAAAAGCTACATTTCGTGTAAACAATAGGCAAACATGTGATCATCGGGTAGATGCATCAACCAAAACCATAAAATATCAAAATAGTCCACAAGGTGGTTGAATAAGTCAACAAATATCCCCTTGAATTCTTTGCAAAAATGATGGGGATTCATCATCAACCTTTAGTTGTGATGGTCTAATTACCAACTTCCCTTGGGAACAAGCCTTGCAAGGGTTATCATTTGAGACAACAATGTGTCTGCTCAATAATGGATGTTTATTAAAGTTGGTAATGATTCTACGCATCATGGTAGATCCTGGATGACCTAGATGGTCATGCCAAAGCATGTAAACTTTTGAATCCATGAACTTCTTGTTCATGACAGCATGTTCCTCAATTGTCTTTATGTAAGTATAATACAATCCACTCGATAAACCATGCAACTTCTCCAATATACGATTCGGGGTATCATTGAAGGTAATGCATAAATATTCCACATTTTCTACACTTTTCATTTCAATGTGGTATCCATTTAGACGTATGTCTTTAAAACTCAACAAATTTTGAATGGATCGAATAGCGTATGATGCATTCTGTATGGACAATATTGTTCCATTTGGTAACATAATTTGGGCTTTTCCTGAACCTTCAATTACATCTGATTGCCCTGATATTGTTGTTACCTTTACTTTTGCAAGTACCAAGTTCACGAAATACTTTTGATCTCGAAGTATTAAATGCGTGGTTGCGCTGTCTGCAAGACAAAAGTCTCCGCCATTGCTCTTGTTTTGAGAATAATCATAATTTTTATCCATGTTCTCTGAGTAAAGAAATTACAGTTAAAAAGTAGTTTATTCATACTGGAATACTACTTTTATTGAATTGAAAATGCGAGCATTAAACCACAAGTACAAATAACAAGAGTACATTAAACATAAATGATTCAATCGGACCTATAAACTTCATTCATTCTTTCAATAATAAAGTCTGAAACATCCAGGAGGGTTGTGTTCAGCTATCCTGATAAATTGGACACTAGATCAGGTGTTTCCATTGGTTGAGCCTGGTCAAGGAAATTGGTCTCGACACCCTTCTCCTTGAGGGAGGCTTGATACATATCCACCAGATGCTTTGGGGTGCGACAAGTACGCGCCCAATGTCCATTACCACCACACCTATAGCAAACTCCTTCAGGATTTCTAGGAGTGTTCATATGAGCTTTGCCTTTCTGGCGATTTGCAATTTTAAAGCTCGGGCCTGGATTATGCCTTGGAACCTGATTATGAAACAGGACACCATGGTTCTTGCCTTTCCCATTCCACCGGCCTTGCTTATGGCCATTTCCTCATTTGTAATTATTTCCACGAGAGGATGTGGTATTTCCTTCAAGGGAAGCAGCATTCACTTCTAGGAATAGTGCTGATCCAGTAGGTCGGGATTGATGATTCTTCATCAGAAGCTCATTGTTTTGCTCAGCTACAAGGAGTACATATACCAACTGGTTGTACTCAGTAAAGCCTTTTTCTCTATAATGATGCTGCAGGAGCACGTTGGAGGCATGAAAGGTGCTGAAAGTAATTTCCTGCATATCTTCCTCAGTGATTGTTTCTCCACAAAGTTTCAACTGGGAGCTAATTCTGAACATCACATAATTGTATTCAGCCACCATCTTGAAATCCTGGATCTTTAGGTGAGTCCACTCATAACGGGCCCTTGGAAGAATCACCGTCTTCTGGTGATTATATCTATTTTTCAATGCCTTCCAGGTGGTTAATGGATCTTCAACCGTGAGGTACTCACTCTTCATTCCCTCATCAAGGTGGCGACGGATAAAGATCATGGCCTTCACCTAATCTTGAGAGGATGCACTGTTATCCTCCTTGATGGTCTCCCCAAGATTTCCTGCCTCCATATGGATCTTGGTTTCCATTACACAGGTAAGGTAGTTTTTTCCAGTAATATCCAGGGCAACAAAATCAAGCTTTGCCAAGTTCGCCATTTTCTTTTCTGAAGGAAAAATGAAGTGTGTAAGAACTTGCAATAATATGTATTATGGAGGAATATATTGTTAGAACTTCTGGTTCTTACAAATTTTGATCTTCAGGCCAAAATGATAAGTACTCGAAACTTCAAGCTCAAGATTTACATGATTAATGAGAAGGGCGATTGTACCGCACCATTCTCATCGAAACAAGTATAGGATGGGCGATTATTCCGCACCACTTTAAACAGTAGGAAAATTTATATATACAGAGTAAGGTGGACGATTATACCGCACCACCTAAAATTGCGATAAAATTTAAATATACAGAGCAGGGTGGGTGATTATTCCACACCATCTAAAATTGCAATAAATTTAAATATGCAAAGCAGGGTGGGTGATTATTCCACACCACCTAAAATTGCAATAAAATTAAATAGCAGGCAAATTTAAATATGCAGGATCGGGTGGGCGATTATACCGCTCCACTTAAAATTTGCAGTAAAATTAGATTTGCAGTCCAAGATAGGCGATGATAATGCACCATCTTGGATTGCATAAATAAACAATGGGTTAGTAGTCAAGAGTTACACCAAACAAGAAATCAAAGATATAAGTAACTGTTAGGTTGAGAACTAGAAGTAAACATGGTGCAAATAGTTCTTTGCGAGAGTATATCTAGCAATTGAGGCAGAGGAAGAAGAAGAATAGTAAAAACCTTAAAGGAAACATTTTTTTCTTTTTTCGGTGAAGGGAAATGAGAAATGATTAGAGAGTCATGCTAATAACGTGTTATAAATAGGCAAAAGTTAGAGAGATAACCTTTGCTAGGGACAGGTGCAAGATTGTTGCAATATATTACAGTAACACAAAATGATTGCAGATAAGAAAGAAATAAGAGGATACTGAAAATATTCTAACTTTTCTTTCTTTCTCACTCTATCTTTTTTAATACTCGTAATGCTCCATTTATAGAGCAAATACTTTGAAAGCAAACAAATTATACGCTTGTGAAAAGTTTACTGTATGCATGTGGGCATACATACCCACTATTTTCAACATTGATTATGTTTCTTATAATGGTTGTTTTATTGGCACCCCACTTTAAATTTCAATTTTAACCTCAAATACTATTTCACCTAACTGACACCCCACTCACCCTCCGCCACTTCGCTACCAACCCCCCCTCCAAAAAAAAAAACCTACACCACCCACCTCTTCCCCCAAGACACCTTTATAACTTGTAAAAACTGCAATTTCAAACGCTAGAATCAAGGTTGTCTACTTGATAGCTATGGGTAGGAAAAACATATGGAAAAGTGCTAGTCTTGTAACAATTGGATTATTGAAATCAATGAAATTTCGTTAATGGTAGTGCATGTTTGGCTATCTGGGGGGAATATGGTGGTGCTTTGGTGGGTGTTTTTTTTTTTTTTTTGTTTTTTTTGGTCAAACAATATATTTAGTTAAATTAAGTGTTAGATTAACCACCGACGAGGTTCGAACTCACGCTATTATGCAAGGGCCAACACCATTCCACCACTGTGATCAATGGTCACTTGTACATCGTTGGGGGTTGGGTTTATTTCTTTCCTTTTTTTTTTCAAATTTAAGTAAGGGTAAAAGAGGAAGTTCAACGAGAATTCGAAAAAGTTGGTGTATTCATAAGATTTATGTGAGGAATAAGGAAAAGAGAGAGAAGAAGCATGTATAAATCAAGACTCAAGTCACGGCATAAAGATTGAGAGACTCTCTCAGCACCTACACGCAGTGGCGAAGCTACGTGAGGGCGAGGAGTGGTAGCCGCCCCTCCCCTCGCCGGAAATCAAGCACAGGAGCGGCGATTCCGCCCTTCCGGTCTCGTCGGAAGTGATGAAATTCCGTCTGGTTTTCTGGCCTTTTGGGTTTCCCTGTTCTATCACAGCACAGGCTGATCACGGGCTCTCTTTTTTTTCCAAAAAAAAAAAACCTAGGCCAAAGAAATGAGGAATGAAGATCTGCATTTAACAGCTTCTGGATATTGGAAATGTTCTGGTTTGGTTCTAACGAAGAAGAGGAGAAAGGAAGAAGAGAGAGACTCTCTCTCTCCCATCCCACCCCACGTGACCTTTACAATTTGTTTTTTTTTTTTTTTGTAAATATTGGCCAATCAATTTGCGCCCCCTAACCTGCTTTTGCTGACTTATATTGGAATTTATTTTATTTTTTAATTATTGTCCAATTAATTTGACCAATCTTTCAATATTTATTAAACCACTTGTTTGATATTGTTATTTATCTTAAAATTCACTATAATTTATACGAGCTTCAAAAAATAATTTGTAAAATATTAAAAACTTGTAATTATTTGTTTTTTCTTCTCTTACCATCAAATTCAACAAAGTAATGAAGAAAATTTGTCAATATTTTTATATATTATATGTTTTATAATCAATGTTTTTTGGATATTACAAACTATATAATAAATAGACAATTATTTATACGGTGTATAATAAATTTATTCAAATTTGCCTAGGTCCTTGCCGAAGTGTAAAGTCATGTCCATCGTCTGACTAGAGCTTAGCATCTTTTAAAACTTTGCTAATTATACAGTTAAGTAATAGGACGATACAACGAGAAACGGTGCTAAATCATCCTTCAAATAATATTGTTTTTCAAACCCTCCTTCGACTATTTTGAGTAGTCCAAATCCTCTTTGAATATTTCGGTTAGTGCAAATTCTCCTATGAATATTACGGGTGGTTCAAATAATCTTCTTGCAAATGCAGGACTTACACCTCGAATGAATGTTCACATTTTTTAGGACCCTAAATTTTTTAAATTTCGCCCCTCCCCCCGAGAATTCCTGGCTTCGCCACTACCTACACGCACATACAGAGAGGGAGAGAAAAGCCAAGAGCAAGGAGGAAGATTGGAGATTCAAGCTTTGCCATGGAAGTGAGCCAAGATGGAATTTCGGTTATTTCTTTCTATTCTTTTGAATTCAATTATTTGTACTTTAATAATATGAACTAAATTTTCTTTGCTAGGTCTAAGATGTAGCATAGCCATCGAAGTTTATAGTTATATTAATTTTTTATTATTATTTAACATTGAGTGTTCGAATCTATTCTTAATGCTTGGATTTAATTGGCGACCAGGTTGAGACCGAAAAGAGATATCTAATAAATAGCTTCTAGTAATAAGTGCCAGAAATGGAATAACATGGTTTATGCAGTTTATTTTACGGATTTCCTATAGTGAGTAATGAGTTATTGGTTTTCTGAATTTTTTGCTTGGAAAATAATGGGTTGTTAGTCACAAATTTTTTTGGTTGAGTCTGGAAGGGAACATCAAATAATTTAGGGAAAATCAATGGTCAACATGCGTAGTAATTAGGGTTAATATGCTATAGATTTCGGATGGAATTGATTAGGTGAAGTTGGTGTCCTAGCACTTTATATATTCGTTCATCTTTCATATTTACTTGCGTAGTTTCTTGGCATATCCAATTTTGTCATCATAAACCTTGTTATACTTATTTTTATTTTTCAATTATCACAATAATAAATTTAGATTATATGATCGGAACAACACTCAACTTATCATTATATATACTCCCTTAGGGATACTGTACACTTGCAATTCTATCAGCTACGTGGCAGAAACATTCACCAAGCCAGCAAAGGATACACATTAACTATTACGTTGAATAAAAATTCTTCAGTCAAATCACCTTCAATAATTCATATTAATCAAACTTATCTTTAAGGTGTGACAACACAAATTTCTTTACGCAATTCATTTCCAGGAAAATTCCGGAAAGCAGAACGAGTAATTAGTCCTCTTTCATCTGCTTCCTCCATTTCCCTGTCCCTCTCCATTTCTTTATGCAGAAGTATTGATGTGTTTCACGCTTCTAATACTACTTGTACTAGTCAGCATAGCAGCTGCTGAAGATCTCACTTTCGCCTACCATGGTTTCCGGTCTGCAAATCTTAGCCTAGACGGCATAGCAAGAGTGACACCCAATGGTCTTCTGAGGCTTATAAATGACACTAGATTCATGATTGGTCATGCCTTCCATCCCAACACAGTAATTTTCAAGAACTCATCCAACGCTTCAGTTCTCTCATTCTCTACCACTTTCATCTTTGCTATGAGATATACAGGTCTCTATGGCCATGGAATAGCCTTTGTCATCACTCCAACAGGAGGGTTGCCCCATGCTGCTTCAGCCCAATACCTAGGCCTTTTCAACCGCACAAATGATGGCAGCCCAACAAATCATATTTTTGCTGTAGAGCTTGACACTTTTCAAAACCAAAAGTTCAATGACATCAACGATAACCATGTTGGGATTGATATTAATGGTATGGCCTCTGAGGTGGCTTCTCCTGCCGGATATTATGTCGGAGAAAGATTGATCACCAGTGGCCAACTGGTACAAGTTTGGGTGGACTATGATGGTAGCAAGAAGCAAATCAATGCCTCTTTGGCTCCTGTTAGTAATGGTAAGCTATATAGTCCACTTTTGTCTTTGACACGAGACTTTTCCCTAGTTCTTCACAGAACCATGTACGTGGGCTTCTCCTCGTCCACTGCCCAGCTTACTACTTCTGCTTACCTCGTGGGGTGGAGCTTTAAGATAAATGGTCAGGCTGAAGAACTTGCTCTCTCACAACTTCCCAAGATGTCTCGGCTAGGACCTAAAAAAATATCTAAACTTTAGACCATTGGTCTGCCTGTGATCTTGGTGAGTGTCGCTGTGTTAGCATTTCTTTTTATGCCTTAAGAAGAAAGAAGAAGTTTGCAGAACTGCTTGAGGATTAGGAGCTTGAATATGGGCCTCAAAGGTTTAAATACAAAGAGTTATATAT